TTCCCTTTTTCCCAGAAGGGAAACTAAGTTAACTCCCCTTGTTGAGACTCTTTAAAGCAATTTATGAATCTAGCTGTGCTTCATTGTACTTTGATTTATGACTCTTCTTTTCACCTTTGCTTTTGGGTAGCTGCTTTGAACACATTTGTTGGTTGACTTTTTTCCACCCTTAATAGATAAATTGTCAATAACATCAAACCTGAACAATTCTGGTATAATGTCAAGGTAGATTCTTTACTGAGCACTGCACAAGGCTAGTGAAGATGAATCCTGACCACAAGGGGCCCATAAAGAACACCTAACCTTCACAGAAGCTCACCTGAACAAAGAAGAAAACTTTTAATAATCAACTCTGTGGTTAGGTTAAACAACAACTGAGTTTCCTTGATATGGGAAATGTCTTTCTGTCTACTGTTGGAAAAGGAAAACATGTAACTCTAAATACACCATCAGCACGGGTGTAGGAAATGTCCAAATTTCCGTTTTTGCCCCAATTGGCTTTCCAGGCAGTAATGAAAAAACAGAAAAAAACCATCATCAGCAAACGACATTAAAATTCAGTAAAAAGGACTTACGTTTAAAATCCCCCTTCACAGAGAGTATGGAGGGAAGAGATGCACATGCTCTATTTCCATAACAGTAACAAGGCTTGTACAGGATTTTCTTGGACTAATCTTACTTAGTTTTCCTGGTTTGAATTTAAATGAGCCAAAATATGTTTTCAGTAGATTGTAAGTGAACAGAGCAACTTTCTCCTACCGGTTACAATAAAGGACTCCTCTATGTATCTTCCTCTTTTTTTCCTTTCCCTTCCACTTTACCCCTCTCCTCTCAGTCATCCTTTCTTGTCTATCGCTACCTTTTTTTTTATCTTGGTGGAGGACAGAGGCTGACATGGGCCTCTCATTTTGTCTCTCCCTCTGTGAGGGATGGCTGCAGTGTATTGTGGGTAACAGAATCCAGCTGTGTTTTAGTTTCTGTGCTCGTGTGTGTTTCTGCTGGTGCGAACATGCGCAGGAATGTGTGTGTGCGCGTGTGTCCGTGGCTTTGTGCTATGCCGCTTTGCAGGTTGTTGGTGTGTCGACCTGTTTCATATCATTTAGACAGTGGCATGTCTCTTTTATCCTGATGCAGCATCTTTCACGAACACTTGAGGATATATGGTGCTGTGAAGTCTCATCGTAGCAGAAGGAGACACCCTGTCACACTGAATGAAATATCTTTAAAACAGCTAAAAGTACTTGTTTTGTTACTATAAATAGTCCCTGTAGTGTAGTCCTGGCACTCAGAGTCTGAGTACAACCTGTGTTTTAGTGGTTGTATTAATATAGAATGCATGTGTTCATATTGAACAAATCAGTTTCTTTGCAGACAGTCATTATCCAAAAACAGAAGGTCAGGGTGTTTCAAAAAGAGACATAGAGTTCTTGAAATAGTCATGTGCAGATTAAGCAGTAAGCTGTCCTTATTTCACACCCATTTCTCCAGACATTCCTGTGACAAGCTAAGCCAGTTTTTTAAATAAAGAAAGTGATTGAAGCCAGTTGTGAACAAACTGCAAGGTCTCTAAAAGTATTACTGCCATGCTACTATGTTGTGTGACTGAACTGAGTTATTGGTGCAGTTTAGTGCAAACGCTGCAATTTCTTTCTCCACTGGTACTGACATTTTAGGTTATATTCAAAGTGACATTTGCAGATATTAATTAGCAATAAGAGAAAATATGTCAGTGCTCAGTTAAGTAAAAGTGTGTACGGGAACAATGCAGATCAAACTGCTTTTCTCATCCAATCAGCAGCCCTAAATGAAGAATGCCTCAGCAGGCTTGACAGTTTAAGACTTCTTGGCTTCTGTCAGACTGGTATCGAGGGATTTGCAGACCTCGTACACAACATGGACACTTAACACCTCACAAAAACCCACTCACTGTGTTTTATATTTAACTACGTCAGCCTTTCACTCATCTGAGCCTCAGTACTTTTACTCAGAAAGTGTATGGTGTGTTCCCAAGCGATACCATATAGTCTTTTAATTACATTGATCAAATAAATTTGATCTAAGTTGGAACTATAAAGTATGTCTAAAACTTGAAAAGTGTAAATAGCACCTCCTGTCACAGGTGTTGTTCCACAGGTTGACCGTGATCATTCTGCATGGGCAATGCTTAAAGACCGCAATAATAGCGTGTCACTGTTAAATCAAAAATACCTTCTGTAAAATGTGTTAAATGTGTTAAAGCCTTAGTACTAGCATTGCTACGTGAAGCATATTTCTGTTCTCGTGCCTGAACGTACAAAGCGTGACATTTGGTTTGGGGTTAAGGTCAGGGCTCGGATTAATAAAGACTGCATGAAATGACATGAACAAGTGAAACTTTGGTTCCTTTCACACTAGCAGTCACATGTCAGAAGAAGCTGTCTAACATGAATGATTAGTTTTGTTCACTTACTCTTTTTGTTTTTAGACAATGACACACAACTCTTCTGTCATCAAATCATTAATGTGATGATTGCACCAGAAATATTGTTGCACCCTTGAATGTGTGACAAGCAGCTCTGATGTTTGTTAAGCAGCAAGTGAGAACACACAGAAAGGTTCTGGATTCCATAGCAGTGTGTGTCTTTAAACAAAAGGATCTATCTGAAACAAAAGAAATTGTCAAAGCTGAAAGATTTTGTCATTGGGGAAGTATGCTGTCAAACATATTTTCCTTTGTTTCTGCCTATCACAGCTCTTGTTCTTCTGCATGTGGTGAAATTGGTTTGATGGTTCTGGTTGCTTTACCTGTTGGCTGGCTCACAACTGCAGTGAAAAGGAAAGTGAAAAGGTTAAAAAAATTAGTTGTGCAAGAAGAGAACTTATTAGTATTTGGCTTTTTTTTCTAAAGAAATATTCGGATATTTCACTTAAGTTTGCATAAAAAGAACATGTAGCTACTATATGTACATATATATGTTGGAAATTTACTAACAAGAAAAATTACATTGACTAATGTAAATATTATTCAAGATAAAATCTACGTGTGCGATCATGTACTTACACACACACATATAATACTATGATTCCCTTGACTGTTAGCATGTAGACATGTTGAGTGAAATTGTTATCATAAAAATGTGTCATTTGAGTGTGTGGAAGACAAGGATTTATGGCACAAAAAGATATTTTACAAAACTAGTATTCACTTAATTCTGTTCCATTCTCTCCGTGTAGATTCAGTTTGAGTATGGCCAGATAAGTATCCAAATTAATAACATCCCATTTCTCTCTCCCTTTTGTTTTTCAGAGCTGAAAGGCCAGGCATCAACATGCTGCTCTGCTTCATGCTCTTCCTTGCCTCTGGTGTGGTATCATCCTTTGACTGCCCAGGAGACTGTTCCTGCCAGACCCAGAGTTCAATATTCTGCATTCGTAGAAGTTTCAGCGCTGTACCCCAAGTCCCTGTTTCCACTCAGTTTCTCTACATCTTCCAGAACACCATAACAACATTGACCAAAGATGACTTCAACGGCTTGGTGGAGTTGGAGATGCTAGATGTGAGCCAGAATGAGTTGACAGAAATTCCAGATGGAGTTTTTGAGAAGCTGTCAAAGCTAAAGAACTTGGACCTGTCCTTAAACCGCATAACCCATATTTCAAAAGACAGTTTCTCTGGGTTGGTCCAGTTAGAGAGACTGTACCTCCATGCAAACCGCATTCAGAGCATTCATGTGGAAGCCTTTGATAACTTATGGATGCTGCTTGAACTCAAGCTACAAGGGAACCAGCTAGTCTCCCTGCCATCCTTTAATTTCCCAAGTCTTCTTCTTTTAGATCTTAGCAACAATAACATTCAAACATTAGAACCATCTGACTTCCAGATTCCTCATCTAGAGACCCTTAAGATGGCCTCTTTAGGCCTTACTTCTTTGGATGAAGATCTCATAGCCTCCCTGAAGAACCTTCATGAACTTGACATATCAATAAACAAGTTACATGAAGTTCCTCTCGCTCTTAAGCAGAATTCCCTCAAAGGGCTTATCAGACTAAGTCTGGCTGGCAATCCACTGCCTGAGCTGAGGGTGAGTGACTTCGAGAAACTTGTTGGACTTCAAGAGTTGGATCTCAGTGGACTGAATCTCCAGGGATTTCCTGAGAGATTTTTCGAAACCTTCCCAAAACTAACACAACTGACAGCAGCTGAAAACCCATTTAACTGCCTATGTCCGTTAGCCTGGTTCCCGGTCTGGCTGGAAGAGAAGGGAGTGCTTCTTAGGAGACCCGAGGAAACCAGATGCCACTTCCCTCTAGTTAATGCTGGAAAGATGCTTTCAGCACTGGAGCATAAAGATTTCGGGTGTCCACTAACTACAACAGAATCAACTGACTCCCCCTTTGCAAACACTCTTGTTCCCCAAATGCCAACAACATCTCCCAAAACCACCCATACCAATGCTATTCTTGCTCCCCCACCACCTAGTAAAGAAACCATCTACTCAAAAACAGATAACTACGCCCTTCCACCAGAACCTCCGGTCTCTCCTACCTCCACCAGTGGGGAGTATGTGCGACATTTTTGCCCAGGAAACATTTGTCTCAATGGGGGTACATGTGATTTTGACCCACTGGGACAACTCATTTGTTGGTGTCCATCAGGAACATCTGGCGTCTACTGTGAAAATGTGGATGAGGTTCTGGAACCACCACAACCCTCAGCCACAGAAATGTCTGTAGATGCCCCTGTGATTCCTGAAAACCCTGAAACCATCAGCTCACGGCAGGTCACCTCAACATCAATTCTTCTAGACCTGCACCGATTCATTGAGACACGGCCACATATCCGTGGCATCAGGTTAACCTATCGTAACCTATCAGGACCCGACCGGCGCCCTATGATACTGAGTTTGCCGACATCCTACCCTGAATACACATTACGTGGTTTAAAACCAAACTGCACCTATTCTGTTTGTGCCAGTCCCCTTGGAGAAAGGATCAATTCTAGAAGTAACAACTCAGTTGAAATGGGGTCATGTACAGAAGCTCGCACTGAGGGGGTTGCTGCAGCTTCATCAGGGACCGGCATGGAGGCAGAGACCTCGGTGAAATACACTCTCATTTCAGCTTTGGCCGCCCTAGCACTGGTTCTTGGATTGGCTGTGGTGGTTGGAACAATAATCTGTCTACGGAAGAGAAGAAAGGACAATGCAGGAATGGAGCTGGAGCTGGGCCCGGCTGATGCTGACCCCATGGAGTTGGATGGTATAAAAGCTTGTCTGGAGAATGGGTTAAATGGCATAATACCCCTAAAGCAGCCTGAGACTGATCTTTGTCAGACCACTCTACCGCCACTATTGCTACAGTCAAATGGTGGTTTGGACTATGAAGCACCCTTGATGCAAAGCCACTGCGCATCTAATAACAATGTAACATCCCTAAAGCCTTCCTATTTCTGACCCTGAAGCATATTTTTTTAAATTCCCAGCAGAACTTCCTGACTTTACTAGAACTCACTGAGTGGTTTAGTTCAAATTTCCATTCCAATATCAGATGTCCACAATTTGACAAAGGGCACTTACAATTCTGTTTTTTCCACATGATGACAGAACAGAATAAATGGTCTACTTAAGGGACATTGAAAGGTGGATTTAAGAAGATGGAAAAGAGCTTAACCACTGTGGGACAGTGAAGAGACTATGGTTTAAATCCATCAAGCTACGTTTGATGGTGTTTTGAAGTGCAATTAAAGAAAAAGGGTCACAAAACAAAAGGCTCCCTCTTGCAGTGGCCTACATGTAACCGACAGCTCTTTGTTTTAAGCTTCTTTGTTTATTAAAGAAGCAATATGGAAGAACTCTTATCCTGTTGCTGTATTTGGGAAACCTGAAAAAGAGAAAGTGCTGCAGCCTTTGTATTACAGAACTGGAGATTTGACAGTGGCTCAAATAATGACTTTTTTTTTAGAAGATGCAGTTTCAAGCAGCTCTGATGTAACAATGGAAATTACAAACAACTACAAACTTGCACTGACAGAGTTATCCTCTCTCCCTTTCAATGACCCAGTCATGGACTTCTACAAGGCTGAAAGTCACATGGAGATGCAATAATACAAGAGAGACCTTTCATAATATAATGATAAGTTAGCGACCATGAAAGTTTTAACAATTAAATCTTTTGCTGTCGTTGTCGTCTTATCTGAGGCAACTTCTCAAGTTTCTTCAAATGCCGATCTGGATTCTTCAGTCTCAACAACAGTTCTCTCACATCCCATAACCCTTTTTGGATAGAAATTTGCTGTGAAAAACATAAATGATAATGGACTGTGCCTGCATTATTCCTTGCCACGATGGACAGGCTGTTTTACCAGTTGTTGCCACAAAATTTTGCTTTTGTCATGTATTTTTGTATTTTGTACCATGTTTTGTCGTAAAATACATTGCAAATGATAATTCAGTTGCTATCATTCTGAGTTAAACCATCCTGATTTTTCTTTAATGGATTTTCTCTTATATTAAGATTATACAGCTAAAGCCTTCCTTTGTTACCGTATGTCCTCAGTGCTGAAGTAAACTTCATTTCTTGTAATACCCGATATTCAAACACCAGTCATATCTGATAAAAACCTATTTCATTAAACTCATTTACAGTTATATATGGCGCAGATTACTCATATCTGTGTATATTTCAGAAACTCACCAAGTGAATGTAACTCAGACACTTTACTGTCTCTGTCAGGTGTCTCCATAAAGCCATGGTTCAGATAAGCCTCAGACTGTGTGAACACCAAATATCAAATACCTTTTTCTACAAACCTCACTCTTTCAAAGTGACACTTACTGAACAAGAAAGAGTTAAAAGAGGAGCCTTCCCACTAGCTGCTCTGTTATTCTTTCTGTTTCTCTGAAACCACTCAATGTGTTTTCAATCAACAATGATTATTAGCTCTTGTCCTCTGAGACTGTTTAGCTGTTTTACTTCCAACCAGACAAGAGCGATAAATGCTGAACGCACCACTCCGATGTCTTCTTCCTGTCTGTGACTGTGACAAGCTTATAGTCTGTCTATTGTTCTGTTTGATAACTGTTGTTGAAAAGATTCAATGAGTAGATCATGCTGTGCAAAGATGAACTTTAGCAACATCAATACAGTTACTTGCATTTTGTTGTATTATGTTACACATAGATTTGCAATTCAAGGAGAAAAAAACTATGCATTGCATCACATCACAATGAAGTATCAATGAAGAAACAGTCCTCTCTTGGTCAGCCGAAAGCTCTTTTTTCTGCTTGTCTGTGTCATGTGTCTTCTGTTTATGTTGTGTGCATTACAGAATGTCTGTGTTTGTGTTTTTTTCTTACTTGATTTTATTTGGACTTTTCTAACACTGTTTAGAACTAGGCTACACAGTTTACCCAGTAAACAGTCACTAATGCTCATTTGGTATATCTGCTTTCCCTCCATCACGTCTGTAACTGGAAAATGGAATTCTCTTGGTCAGTGAAAACGGCAGGAATTGTTTGAAATGTTTTCGACATGCTTGGTACACTACCTTCTCTGTTTATTTAGGGTAACGTGTCTTTTTTTCTATTGTCTGTCCATCTTTAATAACATTTTTGTGTACATTTTGCAAGAAGCGCAATGCTAAGAAAAGAACAGTATTAAAATGCCTTAATGACAATTTGCTTGTGGTTTTGTGTTTGATTCATGTTTTTGTTTTCAATGGAGAAGTAAGATTTCTATTGTAGTCCGCTCAAGTAAGTATGGCTCTTTCCGCTTTCTGAAATATAAGACTATGTTGAATGCAGAGCTATGTTAAAGAACTGAGAGGATTTCTTTAACATAATCTCCAGCATAATCACGAAGCCTACATCTCCTCTTTGCTGCATTATTCACACACATTGCCCTAACCTCAACCCACAATGTGATTACTTTGAGAGGTATTGGTTTATGGGTAAAAGGTCATTTTCTGTAGTTTTCATTACATCTGATCCTTATGGCCTGATACACGAATGAGCTAAATGTTACTTTAATTCACCAGTTTAAATCTCTTTGTCCTTGCCTTTTGGACTTTGGACTCCTTTCACTCATCTAGTTCAACTAATGAATTACTTATGGAATAAGTTGCAACCTTGCTGCTACAATTTGTGTTAAAAAGCATCTTTTCTCCAGCTATGTAAGTTTAAACAAACAAGGGCTATTTTGAGATGTAGATAATGACATTATTTTAACAAAGTTTTCCAAAGATTTCCTCATTTTAAGTTATCATACAGAAAATAGGGGAAAGAAGGTATTCTGTTAAAATCCAGAAAACATGAGCACTACAAGACACTACAAGCAGCAATCAGAATCAGAATCAGAATCAGAAATACTTTAATAATCCCAGAAGGAAATTATTGGCTGTTAATCTCCCTTCAGGTAACACCGGCCCTTCTTTAGGCTCTCACTGCAAGGACACTGAGGATTGTGAGGGCATAACACTATCAAAACCATTAGAAACAGAAGAAATGTCAATGTCTTTTTGACTAAATGTGTTTCTTTTTCCAGAGACTTTGCTAAGACACAAAAAGAGGGCAAGGAAGGAGTGAGAGGCTTGATTTATTTGAGAAATCTGGTTTCAATGAAAGCAGTCAAAACTTGCAGAGGTTGGATGGATAACTGGAGAAAAGAGTGGGTTGAGTTAATGGGTTGAAATCCAGCTCCAGACAGATTTCTGGACTTGATAATGCTTTAAATTGACCCTACATGCTGTTCATTTTCCCAGGTTCTGATTTTTGTGTTTGTTTATGAGGGAGGTGGAGTTGGTTCTTTTTTCATTACGGACCCAAAAACCTGACACCACCTCATGCAGACCTCCAGTTTGAGGTCCCCATGATTTAAAAGGAATTTTTACAGGTTAAGACTTGATTTTATGGTTAGTTAGCATTAAGTGCAATTAGGTATAGTATATGGGCTAGTTGTGAAGGTTACGGTTGCAGTAAAGAGACGAGGAGTTCATGTAAATCAGTAAAGATTTCCTGTGACAAATGAATTGTGTGCATCCTGTTTGCATTTTAAGTGACTTACAGAGACACAAATCCCATGTGCAATAAATGTGTATAGAAGCTGCGTGGCCAATGAAAGCACAGTGAATACCCAGAGACCTTAAACTACTGCTGTCAAAATCCAGCAAAGAGCTTAACAATGTTTAAAGATATTAATTGAATTAGATTAATCAGAATTGATTGTGTAAAAGCATGGAAAAGCCTTAAACCTGAAGGCTGACACCCCTTTTCTAAGTTGCAACCTAAAGAAACAATCCTCAAATTCAGTTTGTGCAACTTTAAGACAAAACTGAACTGCATGACACAAAATAAAGAATAAAGGATTAAAGAATAAATAGTTTTTAAAAACTTTTCCTGAACTGGTCCAATAAAGGGCCATGCACACACTCACACTCCCTATTTGGAAGGCAGCCAGAGTAAAGCTGGCTTGGCAACCAGGTCCCCCCCCTTGGTGTGAGGTGGTGGTGCTCACCACCACAGCACCGTGCAGCCCATCTGCACATGCTTAGAAATCTTTACAACTGCAGCAGGTCAAATTTGTGTAAAGAAATGCGTTTTCCAGCAGATCAGGCTCAGGGGAAGAGGAGATTAATGTGCTTTGGCTACTGATAACATATTGATTTGACAAAGTTCTGGCACAAAAGAGACTTGATGATTCAGTTAAACAGAATTTCCGACTCAACAGTTTTTAAAGTTAAATGAATGCACTAAACCTTTTGACTCTAAATCATAACAGAGATCTAAAAAGACTACGATCTAACAGTGATCCAACAACACTGGAATGCATTTCTGATCTTTAAAAGAAAACTCTCAACTGAGTTTTATGACCCGGAGTTGAAGCTTGTATTGACTGTCAACCAGTTTCAGCTGTTAACATTTGCTGGAATAGTGTATTGATTTAGTCATCATGGAAGAGTGCAGTTTGCTTCATTTACTCATGTGCAATATATCTAAATTTACTTTATCACTTTGCCAACTTCAGCATCTTTCTTTTCAAATAATACTTTTTATGTTATTTTTGAAAGGTAGGTGTTTGTATTTCTTCTCATATTGCCTATATAGAGGTTCTATTCAGTCATCTATTTAAAACAAAAACACTCTTTTTCCATGTCCTTATGCAACACAGTTCTGTCCTTCGTTGTTCTAGACTTAGAAATACTCTCCTGTATCAAATATCAATCCACAGATCAACAACAAGTCTAATCAAACACAGATTAAATC